GAAGCAAGCCCAGTAGAAGGTCAATCGCTGCAGCAGAAAGATAACCAAAGTTGAAAAAAGAAAGGCGAAAAAAATTGAAAAACGAAAAGCCTAATGACGTAGGTCACTTTCTCGTCCAAAAACCTCAAAATTTTTGTTTCTGCGCATGCCCGAGCAAAAGTGTCATAAAATGCGATGCTAGTGGAAGAAAGGCAAGCTGTGAAGTCAAAAATGCCTTTTTGAGTAGATTGCAGCTAATTTGGCTCATGTCCAGGCTGAAAATGTCCAAAATATCCCAAAAAAGCGTTTTTGGCAAAAGGCTAAATTTACACTATGGAATATTAATAGGGAAGGTATTTCTGGTACCCAACCTACAATCAGATGCCCAAATACCAACTAAATATCCTCTGCTTTAACCCAAACATTTCATGTTTCCAGCAATACACACCATCGGCAAATTCCAAGAGTACTCCCTTCCTTCCCCCGGGTATCGAATGCACGTCATTAATGTCTGATTACTACTATGTCATAAGTTAGAAGAAATGTAGAAGCTTACGCGTACAACTTGCGCGAGCAGATATTATCCATTCATGGCGCGAAATTGAATTCTTGTTTTCAACCCTGAAAAACTCACCTTTTCTCATTGCCTCAGAACAAAAAATGCACAAAAGGCTTGCTGATTCATATAGAAGGGAGTTTCGTGGAATTTCTTTAGAAATCTAAGCTCGAGTGCAAATGAGCGGAATCTGCGCTTTTTGGTAGACCCCAGTCTTAACTGGGAGCTTAAGCAACGACGACGACGCCGAGGACGACGCCTAGTAAACAATGGCTCTAAATGGCTCTAAAAACGTGTTTAAGCTAAATATGCAACGACGGCGTTCAATTCCAAATGGAAATACGAAAATTTAGCCTTCGTCGTCCACGTCCAGTATACGACGCAGAACACTGTCATTTCACGTTGTTGTTTTGCAGAGGACGGCAAAGAAATGTACACTGAAGATTTGTAACGCACGTACACAGCTATTGTTTTGCTCATTAATTAACCCCTTACATTCCGACATATTCCTTGCACAATCGTCTCTTGGAAAGTCTCTGATATATTGCGTTCGTAATTTATACAATCTCGGGTACGCTTAGTGGGTATAGTTTGTTAAAATTTAACTGGAAAATATAGTCAAACCACAAGCTGAACAATTACATGCTCGCAATTGATAATTTTTTCAGTTTCTGATCCAAGAAAAATAAATCCTCTTTTTCCTTTATGGTTAATTATTGCCATCAGGACCTTCGCTTTTAGGCTTGGTTAAATTTGCAATTTAATTCTGCGGTAATATAGTCTACTAGCAGACTGGTCTACTAGAGTGCTTTGACTTCTGTCACCCACGCCGTTCTCCGATTGGCTACGCTACTCACTATCTATTCTGCTGTAGATAGTGAGCAGCCTAGCAGTTTGCGGTTGTTAAAAAAACAGTGGACGCTTCTTTGTCGTTTCGAAGTGTTTATGAAAAGGATTTTTTTTAAGTCTGAAAGACTAATAGATTTAAACTAAAACAATAGAAATAGCGATAGAAATCTCGAGCTTATAATGTAATTGTTAATTATAATGACTACATTCAGGCAAGAAAACTACTGGACTACTGACCTCGCGGATTTTAGATCAGAAGAGAGACTGTTTGTAATCTAGAGCGGGAGGTAAGTTTTTAACTAAATGAAGTAGACGGCACAATTTGTGCGTGGTGTTCATAGTGAGAGTTGAATGAAGCGTGGAAGGTTTTCATTACCAACCTTCTCCCCCTATACTGAAGGTTGTTTATACGTCCTCTTTGTTACCTACCGCTGAATATATAATTAAGAGATTATTTTTTTCTATAGAATGGTGAAGATCTGTTATGAAGGCAGGGCATCAAAATAGTAGGAGGTAGGAAGGACTATATCTCTCCTCTCCTGTCTAAAGAGAGGCTTTCGTGATCAAACCGACGAGTAAAAAGTTATTTAGAATATATCCTAGAAGACTACGTAGACTTTTAATAATCCGGGCATCCCGGCTTTAAAATTGATAGCAGTCGGCTTTTTGATGTAACCAAAAAGAAATCAACAGTCGGTTTAATATTCTAATGTAGTCTTTAAACCTTAATAACAAGCAAAAACTAAAGTTTGAATTAAATCTATCTAATGAAGCATAGAGAAAAGCTCTTCTTATCCCCCATTCTGTTTTTTTATGATCCACCCATTAAAGGCTTTCAGTTCAAGATAAGCTAAGATATTAAATTCCATGCTTAACTCAAATTCAAAATTACTTAAATCGGTTTCATTGCAGAGGATTTGTGTTCTTCATGAAAACGTGATTTGCAAACAATGACGTAATTTTTGAAGAATGGAGCAGTTTATTTGAGGAAAGATTTAGAATCATATTGCTAAGCTTTGAATCTTTGACAAACAACAGTTACATGTTATTGTTTACAGGATATTTTAATCGTTGTTCTTACACCAAAACTTCCTTTACGTAATTATCTGTGTTACTTATAGGCAAAATACGAATATATTTCAGCCATTAGTCGTTCGTTTCGAAGCCCGACTTTTGGAGCGCTAGCTCTTCGTTGGAGCAAACGTACTTTTGGTCCGACGCTCGCCTTATGATCGAAACGTCAGCTTTGTCGAGCTGCTACTGCGGTTGTTTTACCTTTATCAGATTCAAATTGATGATCACGGAAGATCTTAACAGGTGTTTGACAAGAGCACTTGCTAAAAAACAAACATAATAGCAGGTATGGTCCGATCAACAGGTGTTCAGCAGTTCCAGCAAAACTACTAGATATACAATACGACGTCACGAACATTTAAGGCAAAGATCATCTACTTGCGCTGGTCAGTGGCTTGATACAATGAATCTGTTCAGACCTTACATTATAACGTTACACAAATCTAGCTAAATTAGGAGCAAGAGGAACAGGTCCGATACACATTGGATCATGGTAGTGAGATGGTCTGTCATCGTACCAACCTTGTTAAGTTTGAGTACCGTCGTTCTGTTGGCTTTGATCGCCAATCACCTCATTGATGACTCTAATGACTCAACTCAAGAACAAAAACGCGCTGTGTATATGTTTTCAGAAGTTCACAGTGAGACCAAGTCAGAGATGAACATATGTCAAACTCGTGAATGTAGTACAGTTGCAGAGTACATTAGGAATTCAATAGATTCTTCGGTTAATCCATGCGATGACTTTTTTACATTTTGTTGTGGCGGTTGGATTCGGCGAAATCCAATTCCTAAAAGTTATAATGATTATTCTACTTTTACAAAACTATCTAAAGTAATTGAAGGTGAACTCCGTGATCTTCTTCAAGCATCAAACATGTCACATGATGGTCCTCAAAATGAGGCTCTGTTAAAAACAAGAGACTTTTATCGCTCGTGCATGGACGAAAAACAGATTGAAACTTTAGGAGCAAAGCCCATGCTGGATTNCCACGCTTACTTAAAGTATCCTTCCCTTTCTAGTTCACCACATCAGCTGAAGACAAAGCTGAAGGAATCTACAGGAGGATGAAACTCAACAATCTTATACGACTTGTTCCACAGGTATGATCCCGTCCTTCCTTTCCTTTTCCTTCTTACCCTGCTTCCTTACGCTGTTGGAAACGCTATTTTTAATTAAACGAGAATAATTTTATCTGCCGACCAAGATAGATTTTTCCCTATTAAGATCAATAACTGACTACAACTCAAGGTGCACTGCAAGCGAATTTCCACAACAGATATTGCTGTACAAGTGACTACTAAATTTTCGGACGTAATTTCTGATCTTCAAGAAGATTAAAATTACTCTGTCAGTGGAAAAACTACCAAATGGATGTGATTTCCCTTGTTTTTCAGTGTGATAAAATTCAACATATATACGGTTGGGCGAGGTGGCTCAAAACAGTTTCCAGCACTTTCCGAGACAAAGATTTTGATGAGTTATAACAACTGATGAATACAATGCAATGAAAATGCAACACAATTCAGTACAATAGAAGTTTGTGTAAGTGTAATACACTTAGGTATATGTGAGCCACCTTAAGGTATCGAAACTGATTCAACAGTAGTCTCAGCAATTTCTTCAAACCTGTCACGTAAATCCCTAGAGTTGTTTTGCCGCTTGGGGATTACGGACTGATCAATGGATTGAAATTGTAATCATAATACTGTTGACATGAGGGCAACATTAATTGTTTCGGCTGTTTGCCTTACAGTTTCCGTGGTTAGATCATATGCACACCATATTTAAAGCAGCAAACGTGACTGAAGCGGATGTTGTGCTGGCCACATCACCATCTTATCTTCGGAAAATGACAACACTTTTGAAAAACACTTCTAAAGAGTAAGTTTTTTTACTTCTCCTATTTATCCACTTGATTCAGTGCAGTGTCAGTATTCGTTCTAATACTTTCATTCTGTTCTGTTGTGATCAACCGGTTTTGCGAGTTCTACTGGGGATTTCGGTTGGTTTGGTTAATGAACAAAACTAGGTTGAAACAGTCAATTAAGAATGCTATGATCAAAGCTTTTTTCAAACACCCATATACTTTTGCTATGCTATTTATGGTCATGCGAATAAAGCTTGTTGTTGTCGTTGACTCGGGCGGGGGCTATCGAAGCTCACGACGCTCGTTGTTAATAAAATTGAACTGCGATAGTTGTATTATTTGAACGGCTAAAAAGTAGGCAAAAATGTACTTACTTAAAGATGACATTTGACTCTAAGAAAACATGAAACCATACATAACAAATAATATCAAAATGAAGCGAAGCGAGTTGCCGCCTTTCTGTTCTGACTAAGTGAGAATGTTCTGGTTTGCGCAAATTCCGTTGGTCATCTAGTTCGATCGTTCGGTATTTTGCACTTTCCTAAATTTCATAAAATTGCGAACTCGTTGAAACTTTTAAACAAAATTTCTGAAAGTATTTCACCAAAAGAGTCTCTTGGACGAAATAAATTGAAAGTGCTGGTTCTTCAGTTATCAGATTCGCGAGTAGGCTATTTACAAATCTTTTTCCCTCAACCCAGTAGCCAGTCATTTTGTAACATTTTTAATGGGTACAAACGGACGCGAGATGATGTATTTGGGAATTTGCTTTCCTTCATCATTCAAATGATGAATTGAACTTAGAAGTCTGCGAGGAAATAGTGGGGAAAACGTTATTTACAAGGCTGGTTGGTTGAGTACTGTGAATTAGAAAGTTGTTTGGATCACGTTGCCTAGGGAGTATTTGGGATGCTCAAAAGCGCAGATCACCATGCTACAACCGTTTCTCTCTGAATGGCTAATCTTTTGTATAAAGAAGCTGACAAAAGTTGATGGCAATTCAGAAAAAGCCATAAGATAGATAAGCAGAATTTACTCCAAAGGTTTCGCTGTTCATTAAGACAAAAATGTGCCGACGAGATGAGCATAACGGCATTTTGGTTGTTTTGTAGGTTAGCCTGAGTAGCTTAGCCTGCTGAATAGCGTTAGCATTACGGTTAGCTCTAATCTAATAGTGATTACGTTCCACTAATTAATTTTATTAACAACACGATATTTACTAAATTCAATCCAGAGTTTCGCTTAGTGATTCTCGTTATACCGATGCTGTTACGAGTTTTACTAACAACCCTCAAAACTCATCGGCACAACCCTACTTTCTTTATTGCGACCAGATAAAAATGATTTACTCAATCCTAATACTCTCATAATCTGTAGAGTTATCTCTGATTTTCACATGCATCATGCACTCACTTATTGAGATTGATTGCCAACTTCTGAAGCGACTTACGAAACTGACTTTCGCAGGTTACTTTCTAACTACGTGGTGTGGCAGATGATCCGTGATAAAGTAAGCCTGCTGTCTAGTCCATTCCGAAAGGCTCGAGCCAAGTTTAACGAGCGAATATCTGGAGTTAAGGACTCAGACCCGAGATGGCGCACGTGTACAGGAATCACTAATGACAACATGGGAGTTCCAATTGGTTCTCTTTACATAAAGAGCTTCTTCGACCAGTCGGCAATTGCCAAGGTATCGAGTTTCACTGAAAAGGAATGACTTCTACAAGCAGGCTAGTAAACCACCATAACGACTTTGGAGAGTTGACCTTTCGAGCTCTTCAAGGATTGTGGGGGACTTAATCTAAATTGATGTACATAAAGTTGTCATGTTCTATGAAAGGACACGACAGCGATACATTAATAAGTAGTTAGCTCGATGAAAAGTTTCCGCTGATCCAATGGACAGTGAACGTGACAATCTTATTATTGTCTTGGTGATGAGAGAACGCATTTACATAGCCAGCGTTGCAGGCGTAAGCGGGGAAGGGGTAGGGAGGAAAAAAACGCGAGTCCCCCTCCTTCGATCCGCGCTTCACCCCTCCCCCTCCCCTGTTCAACGCTGCTACACAGGCTACATTTACATCCTGAGTACACCAAGGTTTTCAAAACCCTGATTCATAACCAAGAAATGCAGAAGTAAATACCTGCTCTATTACCGAGGTTAGGTTATTTTTCAATCTATAACAAGAAACAATTGGGGTATTGATTCTCCGTCTGTAGGGGATGATACTCTATTGTAGACTTCTCGACAGAAACATTCTGTCAGGCTCCCCTAACAGTTTGCTGATATACATTTACAATCCTGGGTGTAGAGAAGCACCGTGAGAGTAAAGTGTCTTGTCCAAGAACACAACTCAATGTCCACGACCGGACTCTTGCATAGTAACAAACAGAAAAGCCATAAGAAAAACAGACAATGTTTATGTTATCGCGCATCATCATCTTTTGAAAGAAGAGTTTTTGATACACTGTCATGACAGTCTCCGAAACGAAATGACTACTCTTTATATATGAATCAGAGGAATTAATTAAACACTGGAGATATATGGGCACTCTAAAATAAGTTTTTAAAATATTTTATGCATCACAATTCGTTTTAAAATCGCACTATAAATTTCTCTATGAGGATTTCAGCCTTACAAGTTTGGACATTACTCTTTATTTAATTCGTTATCTACAATACTGATTGAAGACTACACGTTTTCCAGACTCAGTCAATGATCGATGAGATAAAGAAGACTTTCAAGAAAAGAGTGAAAGAGCATGAGTGGATAGATGACAAAACAACAAAATATGTTTTCGAAAAGGTAAGCTACTCATTTCTTGATATTACACGAAAGATTATTTTTTGGAGGACTTTGCCTTGAAGTAACATAGATACCTATGACCTGACAAGACTTATTTAACGATAACGAGTGCCAAACTTTCTAATCGATTTTCTTTATTTTCGCGACCTCGATAGCCATTTAAGACAATTTCTATCGACTTGGTTTGTTGCCTTGGGACTTCCCCAACGCCAATAAACTATTAGATATTAGTAGAATTCTACTAGTATACTAATGCAAATGCTTTAATCTGATTGGCTGTGCCATCGAACACTATCAGTCATTATAGTTCACCACTAAATTTTCTCCGATTCTTATTGGTTGGAACTGATCATGTGACGCGATAGTGTTTATCCGCGGAGAGACACTATCAGCTCATAGTGCCCGTCTGCGGAAAATACCTGGATGGATAGAACTCGTCCTTAAAAATATTTCTGTAAACAAGCGGGCTTATAGAAAGTAAACAATTGAAATTGTATTCAGAGGGTTTTTTGTTTGTTTGTTTGTTTTTTTTTTCAAATTTTACATTTGGCTTTCACGGCTTTCATCTAAAAAAGTTGAAAAATTCAATATGATTTTTCAACTGGCGCGCGGAAGAAAATTTAGTGGTGAACAATAAAGACAATAGAGTGTTTATGTCTCGGAACTATCGCTCTGGTAGTTGCCCCTTGCAGCATATTTGCCCTCGAAGCTTCGCTTCTCGGCAGATATTTGCTTTAAGAACATCAAACTTCCGCGGGGCAACTATCAGCTGATAGTTCCTCGACAGAAATACTCTATTGTTTAATTAGTGTGCGTGGCCTGGAGGTCGTCTAGGAGATGGCGACGTTTTTTCATTTTTCCAAAGTTTTGGAGGAAATTTTTGATGCAAATGGATAATTGAATTCTTGAGAAGTCAAAATGAGGGACATTTACGGTTTCTTGACATTTAAAATAGTTGAAATTATTGAAAAACTGATGCGCGCACACACAACTTCAATTTTCAATCTGAGCGACATTTTTCAGGCGCAAAGTTTAATAATACGTCAAGAAATAATTGGAAACGTTATTTGAAGTAAATTTTAGTGAGAATTGTACTAAAACAATTAGATTATTCACTCTCGATTTCTATGAGGTGATAGTTGATGAGGCCGAAGGCTGAATCAACTATCACCTCGTAGAAAAACCCAAAATTAAAACCCAAAATTATTGAAAAATCTGATGAGCGTACGTACAGGCAAGTTTCAAATTACAATTCAGCTCCCTTGCGATTTCCCTCAAGCATGAAGTTCTTCACTACAAAGATAAATAAAAGTAAATTATTGTTTTAAAGAAACCTAGTTACAGTTCTGCTTAAACATTAAAATTATCCACTGTCCGGTGATTTTTATGAGACATTACTATTCGGCCCTATCAGCTATCAATCGTTGAATAGAAACCTCGAGCTTGTAGTCAGTTCTATCTTTCATGTTAACACTTCTGTCTCTACAGAAACTTCTTTGACTGCCACGTGACGGTTTAACTTATATGTTATTATAACCAGGCAGACGCTTTGGGAAGCAAGATTGGTTATGCAAACTACGTGGTCCGGCCAAAGGATCTTACATCACGTTTCTCCAATGTGAGTCAATTTTTATGAGCGGATTAGTATTTAGGTTCCGTATTTCGTATAAATGTTAACAGGAGCCCATGAGCCCAGTGTCATTGGCTGTTGTTGTTAATTAAGAATTTTCAGGAAATTGAGACCCTGTGAGCTTCGGCTCAGCCACGTTCTAACAATGCAAATTTAACCAAGTTAAGCCGAGTTTTATGAAGTCCTCGTTTAAACCGAGATTTAGCCTCAAACCAGGTCTAACGTAGCCTAAGCTTCGTTTGAATAATCGGCCCAAAACCTTTGCAGCAATGCTCCACACTTCATAATTTACCTAGAATTGGTAGAATTCTAGTCCGTTACTGACGTAAACGCTGAAATCTGATTGGCTAAACTGACATAAACTACCAGGCATTAATGTACTATGGCCATCAAAGGACTGCAAAGTGGCGAGATTTCCTGGTTTCTCCAAAGTTCCGAAGGAAGAGTTAGAACTTTTACAGTGCATATTTGAACTTCCAAGGAGACTAAAAGAAGGACATTCACCGTTTCGCGACTTCAGAACCTCATAATTCCTGAATGACTAAATGAACGCGCAAAAACAGCTGCAAGTTTCAAAGACCATTTCTATAATGTGAAGAAATAATGGAATGTTTGTTAGAATTTCTAATAAAAACAGTCAGACGCTAGGCTATTAAGAAATTTCAGTAGAATTATTCTAGTATACAGACACTATCTGCCATTTAGGTTGTCCTTTGCGTATTTACGTCGGCAAGTCTATTCACACACTTGTTCAAAAAACAAACTAGTTAAGTGCAACATTCCTTTGGATTTGAGTGAAAAGTTTGGAGGAATTAAATTTGGTTAACTGAGCCATCAAGCGATGAACAGCCCAGGGTAATTCCCATTTGGGAAATATTTTGATTCACAAACCAAAACAATCGTTTAGCCAATCAGCAAGCAAATTTGGATTCACAAGGTGAGAGATCCGTTTTCATGAAATTTCATAATATTATGAATTTGAAGATCTAAGTCACGATCAGCGATGCTACAGAACTCGGATTTGATCGCTGGAATGAAACACACTTAAAATTCCCTTTCGTTTTGTTTACTGGTCGAAATTGTAATGATTGCGGAAGGAGAAAAATGCAAGTTATACCTCTTGGCCAAGAATAAGTTGAGATATGCGCCCTTCTCCTTGTCGTGTGCTACGTACAAAACAGGGCTTTAGTCAGGTTGATAAAGCCATGACCGAGTTTTTACTTGAACAAATGGCTTAAAAACCAGAAAACCACATTTTCAATGCGAGACGTCTTGTATGTCATTGTGGTATCCGGCTGCAGTTTAGTTTATAATAGGTTCTTTTTTATTTGTCCACTTAGTCGCTTTGTTTAAATGTTTTTAAACTGACTTTGTCAACTTTTATAATACTTCAGAAAAGAAAACTTATTTATATGCGGCAGCTAATTTACCACAGTTGAAATATATTTGTACATTTCGATTTTTTCGCTGTGTATAAATCAAACTTTTTAGTTTCAGCGGTTTATTTTCCCATTACAGACCACGTTATGTTCTCTAGGATATTGTTCTTTTATTCATCTAAAGCTTATTCATTCATATACAGGCGACTAATTGAAAATTTGAAAGCAAATATTCTCAAAACTATCATGAAATGGTCTGAAATGGAGCAACAAACCACTCAAGATAGAAACGTCTATTCCAACGTTCTCTCGCTAGGAGAAGAAATTATTACGTTTCTTATTTTCAAATTGGTTTTTCAAGTTCTACACATGCGTTTCGCCATGCCATTTTCCCAAGTTTTTTTTGTAACATTTTGGCTGCTAAACTTGAAATGCTATTTTAGAATCTAGTAAAACAAAAAGAAGAAAGAAAAAAGCTGTGGAGCCCGCTTTTGGGCTCGCTAAATCTACGCACTAAGAGATACCAAGAAAATACACTCTCTTTATTTCTCGCAGCTCCTGATTAACTCAAAGACGTTTTTCCAAAACAACGTAGAAGTGGACAAATGGGTTAGACAACGACTCTTTGCGAAACTCCGGAAGCCGGTCGACAAGGAAAAGTGAGTTAAAACAAAAAAAAATACTTAAAAGTAAGTTAAAATTTACAATGGAAGGTTCTGTAGGTTCGGGTGATAGAAAGGATAAAATCAAGTTATTATTTGTGCTACATTTAGTTAACGGCAGGAAGTATTATATTGAAACGAACTCTTCCAAATACATAAACCATAATATTATATAACGATACGGCATGTTCCTGTAGCAGTCAATTCTCTAAAAACACGCGGGGAGCTGCTAAGCACCACGTAGCTTGTCCCTTGTTCACACGGGGAAGGGGTAGGGAGACGAAAAGCTCCCCTCCTTCCATCCCAGTTTCCCTTCCCGTCCCCTCCGTTTTACGTTCGCTATGCAGGCTACCCGGTACCGGAAGGGGGGACTTCACTGGAACTTATACGGACGTCAAGGAGGATACAGGAATTTGCATTGTTCCAACAGCAGTTTACTCTTCGAAATGAAAACCGCAATCGTAATTAAAGGTGTGATCAAGAAAACTGCAGAACTTTATCCGCTATACATGATATTTATAATATTAGTTTTACAATAGTAGTCAGTTTCATAATATTCACGTAGTTCAGAGTGAATTAAGTGACGTAACCCCAGTTCCGAGAACTGAATAACTGACTTCTCTACAAAGTTGAGTGGCTGAATAACAATTAGAACTTTACACACCATCACATCGGTGTAGCGAGTTTCCAAATTAGGGAGAACTATAATGCTGCTTATTTCAGTCCCGGGTTTTAGTTGTAGTTATGACAGTGAGTGACAAAATGTCGTCTTCACGTTACAGGTGGCCTATGTTCCCACAGACCATTAACGCTATGTATCAGTTCTACGAAAACGAGATTGGTAAGGTTAATTGGACAGTAATTATGAAGTGCTCGAATTTGGTGGCTATATTAGTTGCTAGGCTGAGAAAAATGCTAGTTTAGCTCAGATAGAGAGTAAAAGAACGTGTATCTAACAAGTGAATACGTGTAAAAGTATAAGTATAATTTAATACGTGTAAAATAGACGTTTCGGACTTAGCACTTCTTCAGTATGTCGAAATGAGCGAGCCAGACCCTACAAAAACCTGAGCGTGTGCGCACACGGAAAACGCACACGTGAAATACAATAGAGTTAACAAGGGAGTCTTGCGTTGTATGAAAACCATATGTTAGTTTTAGCGCGTGTATGAACGGCAACGCCTAAGAAACATGGTCATAGGAAATAAACGTTTATTTTCATGCCCTTCGTTATCCTGGATTTCTCTTCTCCCGTCTGGGTTGAACAATGAAGCTGGAGGGGTTTATCGAGACGAATTCGTCACTGAGTTTGAGAAAAATGACTGTTTCAGAATAATTTCTTCAGGTGAGTTCCAAAACTACAGAAAACAACACAAATAACTGCTTGCTTCACATGTCTGTACCGTATTTACATCAAGTGCAAAGGGTCGGCTAGCAACTCTCATAAGGTCTCGCATGAATGGCTTGATATCCTTTGAGAGAACAATAGAACAAACAAAAGAAACATTGCCCTTATCCCTAAAACAATAACAGCTGCCAACAAGCAAAAGAATTACAACCTTATGAGAGCTGCTACACTCAGTTCTGACTGCAAATCAACTGAAGTAAAGGTTCTATGAAATCGACGTTCATAAGGATCTTTGTTTAACCCTTTGAGCCCCAATTACGTATATGCGTAATTAATGGTCGTGCTCTTTGTACCACTTGTGACGTCATCAATTTAAATGTCATCAGATATTCTTGATAAGCAGATAGTAGTACTAGGCTAGGCCTTTCCGCGCAATGGACAGGTTTAGATATCGACGACATTCCGACGTCGCAAATCGAAAAACAACGTTATCAGTTTTGGTGCAAAAACGGTGGTAAAATAGTCCACTACGCCTATGATTGATCAACTTCCATTTCTAGGCTTCGCCGGTAATTAACATCCAACCTTTCGCGGCAGCCAGAAAGAACATGCAACGCAAAAGGTAGTCAGTGTAAAAGGACCGAGAAAAACAGACAGGAAAGGGCCAACAAACAAAATTGAGAACGGTTTATGGCAAAGAAAAAAAAATGGCTTATGCGCATGCCCGGAATTGAAATATTGCTCAATTTTGTACCTAATCCTCGAAAAATCTCTCCTTTTAGTAAAAAAAAAGCTTTCTTAGCAAAATTTGGGCTTATTTAGCGTCATGGCAGCTGAAAAACCTGACTAAGCGGTTAAAAACGGTATTTTTGGCGAAAGTTTGGTATTCAAAGGGTTAATTGTCTTTTTTTTTTCCTGGGCGTAAAACTAAAGTAGTAGTAAAGTGTAATTGCTGTTAGTGATTCCCGGAGAATGGCATGCTTGTCATTTTTGAATACATGGCAAAAAGGTAAATTTAAAGTACGGGGAAAAAACAGTCCACTACTCAAGCAAACTAATATGTTGATATCATTTATTGTTTTTGCCCCTGCTAGTTATTCCGGCTGGTATCTTACAGTCTCCGTTCTTTTACTCTGCCGAAATTCCGAGGTAAGATCAGACAGTTGACATCTAACAAATGTAATATTCAATAGCAAGCGTTTAAAAACTTGTATAGTAGTTTAAAAGAAGGCGGAAATATTGCCATTCAGTACGCGTGCCTCCCTACATTGTGACCGCGCTAGAAGTGTTGACTCCTGAGATTAAAGAACGAGTCAAGAAGATGTATCGCAGTGTTGACAGAGACAGTGTGGATTGCATGTCTAAAACAGAAGGATTTAAGATCGTGGAAAACTACTACGCTTATGATAGGAAGCTTGTGTTTTGAGAGCATGGATGTTTTTCTAAAGTGGTTATGGAAGTCTTTTCATGGAGTGTTTGATTTAAAACTAGTCACAGAAGAGAAGATTCAACTGTTCTTACTGCGCCTTTCAATAACATGGGGACTCTAAAACCGACAAATGCGTTGTTCGCTACCGTCAATCAAATGTTCGTCGGCTCCTCCCAACTTCCGACTATGTTGTCTGTGCTCACCGATTTGATTTGATTACCGCGCGCTCGGCAGTAGTCGGAAGGTGGGAGGGGCCTTCGAACATTTGATTAACGGTAGCGAAAACCGCATTTGTCGGTTAAGCTTTGAATTTTAGAGTCCCCATGTTATTGAAAGGTGCAGTAAGCAGGGATGGAAATCCACCTTTCGACTTCACATCCGATAATATCAACATCAGACTCATTGCAGTGAGGACAAAAGAACGGATCGATGTCAATAATGAAGGCGCTGAATAACAATCCACACAAATGAAATCGTACCATTAAATCTCGTAATTGTTTTCGGCTGATGATAGACTGGAAACTGGAAAATTTACCAAATGGTAAGGAAATTTCCGCCGTTTCGTTCCGAACGGAAAAAGAGGTAGTCTACAATTTCCGAACGGATTTTCCGGAAAATTACTGTTCCACTTGACTTTCAACCGAAATTTCCGGATTTTTTTGCTAAATGATAAGCACCCCTTGTAAGGTTGTCCTCTCTTCCGGAAATTCCGGAAAATGCCGTTCCATTCGCCAAACCGAAACGTTCAATCAAACCGAAACGTTTGATCGAAAGGAAAGCGCCCATTGTTAACAAAATTTTATTGATATCCTTTGCTGTAGACATCCTCGTATTGTGCGAATTACTGCGTTTATTCCGTTTTGAATTTTGGTTTGAATTCTCAGAGGCAGTCACTAAACTGGCTCATCAACCGGTAAACGATATTTCATATAAAATCACAGATCTCTAGGGGGAAGGAAAAATTCATAAACGAACAGAGACGTTTATTCATTTTCTCAGATTGTTAAAGCAAACGTGGGACGACAGTTAGGTTGCTCCAACAGTCTCAAAGAAACTGATTTCAACGATTATTTCAAAATTTCCGCTCAAGTTGTGTATTTTATCAGTTGATTAGTGCAATGACAAACCTATATCTCTCAGTTTCTACGTGCGCTGTGATTGGTCAATTTAGGGGGCCGTATTCTACTGTGCGGTCCGCTAAAATTTAAAGCTGTTTTTGTTGCCAAAATGTTTGGTGATTTAACTTTAAATCGGTGTATTAAAACGTGCTAATGACTTTTAAACAACAGTTTCAAATTGAATCGTTTTGCTTTCGACGTGCGTCAGACATTTGAAGCCGTTCCGTGCGAATAGAAATCGTTTCCAAACCTGTCAGACACCTAGTAGAAATATAATATCTCACAAACCTCTTCTTCTCGGTCTGCACTGAAGCGCTTGGGCCATACATCGAAGGGGAAAATCTTGGCTCATCAGCCGGTAAGCGATATGTTTATTTACTGTTTATTACCTGTTTATTTACAGGTCATTAAGTTATGGCGCTTTAGGATCCATCATAGGACATGAGATGACTCATGGATTTGACAATACTGGTAAGTAAAAAAGATATGATGAATTCGTTCCTTAGGACTAGCTTTCACTAGTACATAGGCAGAAGCACGAGAATCTGTTTTAGATCTTTTTGCAAAAGTATATGTCAAAGTGAGTTACGACTGGTTCACTGTCTTGTACTTATGCTTATGCTTATGTCACCCGCGTCAGTCTCCGCACAGCATAAGCAGAAAAAGACTTAGTATCCAATCACCTGAAATGAAGGTGATTGCTCCTATGAAGACAATTTTTTTGAAGTTAAAAATGTTATGACCAACTAACTTTTGCAGCTTGATGAGATGTTGTGGAGTTTGTGGGATAATGAGGAAAAATAAAATAAAAGCCTCATTAACTATTTTCTCAACTCAGTAGTAAGTCTAAAATCATATTTCTATTAGCAATGTTGAACGTCATGTCTGTATAACGACTGCAGCTTATAGTTTAAAAATGACGATTAAAAGAAATAATCTAATCTAAAGTATCCCATGATTGTGATTATCGTAATCCTTATAATTTACTTTATTTTGCCTCGTTTGTTTTAATGGCAATACCAATGATGATAAATATGGTGAAACCAAAAAAGTTGTTGTTATAGTGTTAATAGCTTACATGAAAAAAATTACTCGATTCTGATTAGCTGAGAGCAGTGCAGTTCAAGTGTAACACCAGTGCAAGTTACACATCATAATTCTGGATAATGATTGGCTGAAAGACAATAGGAAATTTTCGAAGCCAATGATATTACGTAAAATGATGACGAAAATTTTGTGCGGAAACTTTGAAAAATGTTTTCTCGAATGAGAAAAAAATGGCTTCACGGAAGATCTTCCGACACTTCACGCGAATAAGTAATCATACGGTTTTTCTCGTTCAATTTGGAATCAATTTGCACTTGTGAGTTTTTCAAAAAGCTGAAATAGCACTCGCCGAAGCGGCTCGTGCAATTTCAGCTTTTTGAAACCTCATTCGTGCAAGTTAATGGCAAATTGAACTCGAAACCGTATGATTACCTATTCATATTCAATAAGGATCATCAAGATCAATGTTATTGTTTTATTCATCAGGTCGAAAATTTGACAAAAATGGTGACATTGTTAAAGAATGGTGGAGCAAGTCTTCACTCATGGAATTCAACAAGAAATCAGAATGCTTTGAAGAACAATACTCTAAATACAAGGTCCAAGGCCGATATCCGGTAAGAGCTGTCTTTATGCCTTGCAGCCTGGAACAGTTGTTTAATTTCTTGGCAGTCAGATATTGTCAAATATTTCGACCGAACGTCCTTGAGTACTGCTCAAAGGCTAGGTATAGCTTTAATAATTGTATCTGGAGAAACTTCATTTACAATAACACGCAGCTCCTGCGCAGCGCTGTGTTTTAATTAATGGATACGCAACGTAATTTTCAGGATGCTCCTCGCGGTTGACGTTGGGATCGAAAAATTCAACAAACTCAATACGTAATAACTAATCGATAACAAGCATTTGCATAAACATTCAAGCCAAGGGAAAGCAATCTATCACAATGTGGAGCCTTGCGAAATTGAGGATTTTTTCAATTTCCCAACATTTTTTATTAATTTTTCCATACATTACATACATCTTACATTTGTCCACAATAATACATAGTAGAACATTTTAAAGAGAGAGAAGACTTTAAACTGCTTAGACTAGAACTTAAAAAATCAGAAACACAGGCAATGTGGCCAGTAGCTCAAACCGTAAGTAAGCAGATTACATGACAACACAACCCTGAGAGTCTCACATTCACAGTTCACTTGGCTCTTGACTGTTGTACCACTCAAGAAAAGAACAGCTGCAACGGTTTCTCCATTGTTGGTATCAATAGCAGTAGTTAAACTATTAAATACCTGGGTTACTTGTGCTTTTTCCATCTGTACTTTTCTGCTATTGAATATGAGCAAAGCATTCTAGCAGTGATGCAAGCTACTTTGATATTTGAGCACTTGATATGTTTTGATTATAGCACCAGTAACCTAAAACAACATCAAACACTACCCATCATACACCTGATTGATACGCAGTCTGTAATTACCCCGCGTAAATTCCAAACGAGAGCACTTCATTCTAAACAGAAACTCCTTGCAATTTCTTCGCTCGAATAAGTCTATTTGAAACATTTCGATAACTCCATAAAGCGATTCCGGCAACTGAACTGATGTGCTCTTTCCACCGGAAAGAGAGGTCTCAAGGACATCAGTTAATGGTGGAAAAAACAGTTGTCTTAGCACTATTTGATATGTATTTCTTAGATCGTTACACCTATAGTTCATTTTGTGATTTAAAGGCTAATTTCTAAGTAAAATTTGCGAAAAGCTATTTATTTTATTTTTTAAAAATGCACTACTGACATGAGCTCTTTTGTTCGGTTCAGTGTAGAGTGAAGGTCAATTTTCTAAGGAAACTGTATGACTACCCCCCAGGTTTTCTTGCGCTTGCTCAGATCTATTTTCACATAATACTAATTTGCGTAAAAGACTTTTATATATTTGGTAGCAAGCCGTCCTTAATGGTCGAACTTTCGTGCTGAGGGAATATCGACACTGGAATAACTTAACTGAATAACTGATTATTCAATTAAATATTCGCTGTTTCGTTTGTTCGGCTCCAGATCAGTGGAAAGGTGACGCTCGGAGAAAACATAGCGGACAATGGAGGAACTAAGCTTTCTTATTTTGTAAGTACGTTCTTTGGATTTCTATGAGGTACTACTTGATACATCCCTCGGCTTCACGATAATCAACTGTCATCCCATAGAGATCTCGGGCTCGTGTCGTATTTAGGGCCTAGAGCCCGTTTCTCGAAAGACCCGGAAACTTTTCGGGCCCGTAAAGCCATAGCAAAATCTCGAACCTTACGATTACAGAGCTGTTTTATTCACATATTCTTAAGGTGAAGAAAAGTTTCCTTCATACAAGAAGTTTCAGGCGTATACAATTCTCCGTTTTTAGAAACAGATGGACTAAAAATGGCTTTACGGGCCCGAAAAGTTTCCGGGGCTTTCGAGAAACGGGTCCCAGGTCTCAGACTAGGAAAATCATTAATATACGTAAGTATGATCAATCACGGTTTTTAGTGTTTGATATATCGATCTTTTCAATGGAAATGAAACTGAGAAGAAAACGGAGAAATAAAATCGTAAAAATCTATGTTCATTTAAAAGATCATGGTTAAAGTAGTTGACCTCCTTTGTTTAAACTTGAGTAATTATTAATGAGTTGGAGGAAGTGTTACAAAGTGTTACATCTTAGCCATCAAGTGATTTTCCTTTTCTTTTTCTCTGTGTTTCTATCGAGTTTTACTATCAATCTACAAGCGTTCTATAACGATTGCCGTTCGTTGATTGGCTACGCTACTCACTATCTATTCTGTGATAGATGTAGTGAGTAGCGTAGCAGTGTGCCGTTGTTAACAAAATGAAGGCCGCTTCTTGGCGCTTTCGAAGTGTCTGTGAAGAGGATTTAGATAAAGTTTTGAACGACTAGTAGATTTATACTAAAATATACATTATATGCTCTCGATTTCTATGCGTGATAACTGACTCGGGCTGCGCCCTCGTCAACTATCACGCGATAGAAATCGAGAGCGAATAATTTAATTAAACAATAGAGTGTTTCTGTCGAGGAACTATCGGCTGATAGTTGCTCCACGGAAATTTGATGTTCTTAAAACAAATATGCTAGTTTTAGGATATAAAATTTCCAAGGGGCAACTATCAGACCGATAGTTCCGAGACATAAGCACTCTATTGTCTTTATTGTTCACCACTAAGTTTTCTTCCGTGCGCCAGTTGAAAAATCATATTGAATTATTTTCAACATTTTAGATGAAAGCCGTGACAGCCAGATGTAAAATTTGAAAAAAAAAAAACCGACAAAAACCCACGTAATACAATTTCAATTCTTTATTTTCTACAAACCCGCCCGTTTACAGAAACGTTTTCACGGACGAGTACTATCCATCCGGGTATTTTCCGCGGACGGGCACTATGGGCTAATAGTGTCTCTCCGCGGACGAACACTATCGCACCACGAGATCAATTTAAACCAATAAGAATCGGAGAAAATTTAGTGGTGAACTATAATTGTTTATTAGGATCTGACTGGCTGAACATCGTACACGAGACGTTTTCTTGTTTATTTTTTTCGAACTCTCGGAGGAACATTTAGAGAAAAACTGGGCAATTAAATTCCCGAGGAGACATAAATGAGGGAAATTCGCCGTTACTCGACTTAAAAAACTCAAAATTGTTGAAATAATTGATAAGCGCGCGTACACAACGCAAGTTTTAGATGAACAAATCGAGATCACGGTGCGATGAAAGGCTTGAACGTGAGCTGAACTACCTGGCACGCTGATCACTTGGTATATATATCCTTCCTCGCCGTGATGACACTTCGTGCTATTGATCATTGCCTAATAATATACCGTACAATCCCACGTTAAAGTCCCCCCCCCCCTGTTAATAAGCCCCCTGGATATAAGCCCTTCTATTTGCTAACAAAGATATTATTCCGAATATAAGTCCCCTGGATACAAGCCAATCTAATGTATGAGTGCGTTCCATTTGCGTTTCTTTAGGAACATCAAAATTTTTAATCGAAAGTTATAGGGTAATAGCTCTAAATGTAATGGTATGTTAGCTTTAATTCGTTTCTCAGATTCGTTTTATCTCGTTGTTTCGAATTTTTTTTATCCCACTTATATGCCCCCCCGGATATAAGCCCCCCCNTATCATAATAGCTCTAAATTTAATGGTATGTTAGCTTTAATTTGTTTCTCAGATACGTTTTATCTCGTTTTTCCGAAACAATTTTTTTAATTCCGCTTACATGCCCCGAATAAAAGCCTCCCCCGTTTATAAGCCCACTCAAAACCCCTTATGAAGTTATATAAGCTTAGGGTTTTAACGTGGGAATTTACGCTAACCATATGCTGCTCGGAAAATTCTACAATAACAATTTCGCCGATTTATATTTCAGGCCCGGTACGCCGGAAAATATTGTCAAGTAGACACCACCTTCCGTCCTTCCATTTTCTTAATGAAACATGTCACTTGTCACTACAGTTTTATCATGAGAAGTAATTATTCTATGCATATTACTTATTTCGAGGAATGAAATAAATTACGCTTTGGTTTAACCTCTTGAGCATTCCATCTTCCAGGCGTACCATGACTGGCTTCAAAAGCATGGTACAGAGGAATTCTCACTTCCCGGCCTGGGGTATACCAACGAGCAATTGTTTTTCATTGGTTACGCACAGGTCAGTCTCACCGAACTGAATCAATCAAAACTGATTTGTCACAATAGCTCTAATATTGAGCAAAACATAAAACTAAACATTTTCACTCTTTGCTTGTTTAGGAGTACTGCAGTCATGCCCGACCTAAAACGGAGTACATCGCCACACTGAGTGAGATCCATGCACCACCTAAATTCAGGCATGTTTTGAGAAATGTTTACTCTTACCACTCTTCATTACGAAATATAATGAAACGCATGCAATGAACACAGTAGCTTATCAAAGCCGGACATATTTGCTAACCAAAAATTGTCAGAAACATACTATATCACGGTAGGTTATGACCAATTATTGCTATGGATATTTACTAAACTATCCCAGAAATGGAGCTTAGAATTCCCAGAGCTGTTGACGAGGTGAATCCCTGAGGCGGCACTCACTGTATATGTAACGTGGCGGCGCCTATTACTCGATTATCATTTTCGCGGTCTCGCTGTAACATTTTAAAGACAGGCAGTAAGTACAATTCTGATTAATCAGACATGGTTTTCTTTCTTGATTGTAGGGTTATTGGAACACTTTCCAATTTTAAGGAGTTTTCTGAGGCGTTTAATTGTCCAGCGAATAGCACCATGAACCCTGAAAAGAAGTGTGAGGTATGGTGATGGAGTCTGAGAGAATGTCGAAAAGTATTATGATTCAAAGATCGAGTCAACTGAGATTACCGTACATTTCACTTGCTTTTGCTGTAAGGACGGTTAGAACACAATAAAAAGACATGTTCGTGATTTATTTGTTGACATAAATTTCATTTGGTGGTGGCAAACAAATGACGTAGCAGGAAAGCATTCGTGAAATTTTGTTATGTCTCTTTTGCACCCTCGCGCGGTGTATAACATGCATGACATTAGTTTGCCGGACTCGCAGATTTCCTATAGACATTTTGAGTATGAAGTTCCCATAGTATTTCAATGCACCAACTCTCTGCCATGAATGTTTATTGTCACGAGACTGCCGAGAGGCAAAGACACATAACAAGTACAACGACCAGATACAAGCATATGACGCGGAGGGAAGAATGCAGTGAACTCACAGAACTTTTATTTCAATTTAATTTTAATTTATTTTCCCTATTGTTTCACCCCATTCCATGAATACCGTGCATATATCTCGAGACAGGCGAGAGTTGGAAACATTGACTTGACTATATACAGTAGTAAGGTTACCCGACTAAAAGAAGATTACCTAGCAGAGTATATAAGTAACGCGAAAACTGTCGTAGATCCGGCGCCGATTACTTTACTTGCCTTGATGTTCAGTGAAAAGTATTGAATGAAGATGCTATCAGATGCTGAGGTCCAAAGAAGTCTCCTGGTTTCCCTGCTGCGTTGTCGCTGAGCAATACGAGGCAAAAAGCCCCCCTATCTCTGGCATCTTGTAAAGAGTTTCGGCTGCCAGGCAAGTGACTCAACTGAGTTATTTTCCCTGTTCCGTGAAGCATCCTAACGAGATAATTTGTTTTCCCAACCTGTTTACCCAGCGTGGCCTCTTCCAGGCGTTCAGTTAGTTGGGGTGGAGCGCGAAAACAGGCGAGCGAAAAAATAGAGGAGAAGCGCGGCGAGAGCAAGCGAAAGAACGTTTGCCCACAGGCGTTAGCTCGTTTCCCCTCACCGCGCTTTTTTTTTATTGCGCCCCAACTAACTGAACGCCTTGAAGAGGCTAACCCGGCGAGGAGCTTAAGCTGTGAAAGCCCGGTGGGGGTGGGGAGGGGGTGGGAAAACTCCTCCTTATCTTATTTATGACTAAGTCTGCGATTTTCCCTACCCTATTTATGACCTAACCAAAAAATTTTATACCCTATTTCAGAGATAACTGGCCCTGAATCTAGCTCTCCCGCAGACGTTCTTTTATCTCGTCACACGTGGGAGACTACTTGCTTATCACGAAGAGTATTGCTAACGTCAGCATTGTTTCATTAATAAACGAAAAAATATTTATTCACAGATTTCCTTACATTTCGTCTTACGTACATAAAAGCAAAAATATTATAAAGATCTTAAAATAAACAGGGAATGGTAACACGAAAACTACTTTTGGTATTTATTAAACCAAAATCGCAAGAAAAGTCGTCACGACATACGCCAATAGCATCGCTGGCAGCACTTCTCTGATTTAGCACTTGACAAGTTGAAATTAAAGAGAAGGCCTTTCGCGCTCTGTATACTCTTACAAAACACACAAATGTCAGGAAATTGTCCCTCTTCCTTGCAACTAAAATTTTTGACGCGATGATCTCTCCAATCCTGTCATATGACAGCGATTTACATGGAACTGTAGTTTTGCCGGTGTTAGTTGCCGTTGTACCCTGCTTAGGGACGGCTTTACCACTATAAGATAAGATAAGATAACTTTATTTATACACGGTTTTTCCATCAGTCAACAAAGTTACTGGATTATTTACCTATCTGCCTAACTACAATAAAAAAAAAACTGCTTTTCATGGAGGCCGTGTCTAAAAATTTACTTAAAATTAAGATATTACTTTAAACTGTGGCGACTTAATTTAGCTAGGTTGTGGTAGAACTTAGTGAGTTCAGAGTTGTAGATTCTCCATCTCTGCTGAGCAACGGCGCTTCGCCATGTGCCGAGTATGCGTCCAATCAGGGGCCACGGCCGGTTGCGGCATGATGTGGCTTGTTTTGAGAGTATAAGCAGTCCCGTGTACTGATATTGAAAAGGAAAGAGTCTTTCCCTTGATAAGGTGAATAAAACCTTGACTCTTGTGTCAAAAACGTCAGAGAGCTTTCCAAAACACGTCCGCCAACACTCGGGAAAGGATTCACATTGAATTTTGGTATAGGATTGTGCGATCTCATGAGATCCCTGCACCATAAAGTGATGATGAGATAGAAATGTGGAACTAAAGATGGTGTAAGTTGTAAAAGGAAAAATATACTAGTCCATATCTTTCTCTTGTCTCTATCTAAACTGAGTTTGCCAATGTTTAAAAAGAGCCCTGTCATACGGACCTGGCTTTCATGTGTTTACGCCTTAGTGCCGTATAATTATTGAAGAGGTTGAGAGATATTATTGTTGTGTTTCCCAAGCAAAGCATTAGAGTCATGCGTAGCTGGCACGATACTAAAGCATGTCAACGAAAATGACCTGCTCACAGAGAAGCAATGGCCTTGTCCCAAGGGACATTCGACTGAATCGCTTCTTGCCCATCTTAGGCGGCGAAATACGAGATACAAAAACCCTCAACTTGTCGCCCAACATGGTTTCGTTGCAAGTTTTGGGACAATGTTTCTCGTTTTTCACCTTGCGTGATCAACTTGTCGCGCAACAAAAACACTTGTTGCGGGTCGAAGAAAGTTGTTGCGAAAAGTAGAGCGCGGGTCCACTTTGAGCAACAAATTTTGGCTTTGTTGCTCGTTTTCCATCAACCCAAAACTTGCAACGAAACAATGGCCGTTTTTATACTAGAGGACGCATTATCCGTCCAGAAGGATAATTCGTCCTCGCTGTTTTTGTACTAAAGACGTATTGGCCGTTTTCCCACTAGAGACGGATAATCCGTCTAAGACGGGTTATCCGTCCAGCACGGATAATCCGTCTTGGTGCGTCTCTATAGACGGATAATTGGACGGATAAAAATAGACGGATTATCCGTCTAAAATGAACACCGTTCCGTTTTCACACCAAGACGGATTATCCGTGCTGGACGGATAACCCGTCTTAGACGGATTATCCGTCTCTAGTGTGAAAACGGCCATTATCCGTCTCGACGAACTTGGGCAAACATTTGCAGTTCGTCTGGGTATGCGTCTCTGGTATAAAGAGGGGCACGAGACGCATTATACGTCTAGACGATTTATCCTTCGAAATAAGTCGTGAACGACGCACTAGGAGATAGCTCGTCTAGACGCATAATACGTCTTGTGCCCGTCGTTACTAGAGACGAATAACCAGACGAACTACAAATGTTATGTGTCTTTAGTATAAAAGCGGCGAGAACGCATTATCTTTCTGGACGGATAATGCGTCCTCTAGTATAAAAACGGCCAATGTTACGCGACAAGTTGATGGTTTTTGTATCTCGTATTTCGCCGCCTTCACGGAAAGCTGGAGAAAAGCCATCGACCAAAAGCTACTGGTCGGCGCAGCTTTTATCGACTGCTTCGAGACTGCTGGAAAGCATTCGATTGTGTGTCCCACGAAATTCTTTTGTTTAAACTAAAACACAAATTTTGGAGAAATGGCAACACTCTGTCCTGGTTATTTAGGGGTTACATTCATGAATTCCGTTCAATCGTCTGCACTGAAAGTTGAAGTTGGCATTCCACAGGCTCCGTTCTTGTGGCATGTTTTTTCTCCCTATATACTAACATGTCAGTGGTCGTTACATCGAGAGAATTATATATGTACGCGGACGATACGATATTGCACCAGCTTAGCTGTAGATGAAGCGTGCGCCGAGGAGTTTAATTGGTGCAAGTCCAACTCTCTGACACCTCACTCCACCCTGAAATGCGAGGCTATGCTATTCTTTAGAGGTTCCTTTATTTGGCCCCAGCCTATATATTATTAAAAACTGGATCATTGGATAATGCAGTTCGAGAGTTTTCGTTAGCTTAGCCATCATGGGTTATGAGCCAGTATACCATGCTCTGAAAATATGCTATGCGTACGCGTGAATTTTTGGGGCGTTTTTATTTTTATTTCAGTCTAGTTTTCTATAATTTTGGGGCGTTTTTAATCAAACAATTATACCACTCGCGCTTGTTGGATATGAGATCGCCTCGTTGGCTATCTATCATCTCATATCCAACGCGCGCTCGTCGAATAGTTGTAAAATAACCATTGGCGGAGAGACAATAAACTGGTAGTGTATGTGCCGTCTTTTGCTTGACCAGAAGACGGCTGGATTAGCAAGAAGAGTTTCTCAGTTATATTTGAGATAAGTTGTACTAAAATAGTACTCGAGGAAGCCGGTAACGTGCATTACGTAAACTTTCTTAGTTGTCATGTGATACTAATAGCTATTAGTATCACCCAACTAGTGGACTAATGCAAATCCTACATTTTGATTGGCTACGCTACTAGGGGACTATTAGTAATAGTCATCGAGT